CTGGAAGGAACACTCGTGGGGGTGGCTGGCACACACATGGCGGTACTTACACCAGTGACAGGGGTAAGGGCTGCCCACGCAGGACATGCACCTGCAGGGCAGAGGGGCTTCAGAAACATGCAAGAACATGGGGAGCGCCCCCCTCCCTGGGACACAGTGGTGGGGAGCTAAAGGAAGGAGGCGGTCATTGTGTGGAGACCGCCACCCTGCAGGCAGACCCCCCCCCACTCATCCCAGAACAGAAGCAACACTTACGACTGGAGAACGCTACAGTTGTAGAAGACGAGATCAGCCCCAGCAAAGCGCACACCGGTCTCCTTGGAGAGCAGCTGCAGCCGGACGGTGCGTGTGGCGCCTGCAGCAAGCCGAGGGCCATGAGTGCAGGGCACGCAGAGGGGCCTCCCCACCCCCGGCAGCCCAGCCCACTAACCATGTCCCCTGGTGAGCGCCCGGAGCTCCTGGAGGGAGGGCGAGGGGCAGCGCAGCTCGCCTGAGGGCAATAGGAGGGCCTCGCTGGCAGTCACCTCCTCAAAGGTACAGCTGACACCAGCACTGAGGTCGGGCACGTTGCGGATGGCTACAGTCAGCTGTCGAGTCAGAGGCCTTAGAGCAGGGGCGGGGTACCATCCCACCCAGGCCACACACTCCCACTCCATGGCTTACCTGCACCCCCAGGGACGTCACTGACACATTGTTGGGCCGAACCCGAACTTGGACACACTTACTCAACTCTTCAGCAAAGCCATGTGGGGCCAAAGCCCCTGGGCAGGCCCCCTCCCTGCAGCACCTGTGCAGGGGGGGCGGGGGTGTGACAGGGACGTCAGCAGAGGTGGAGTTCCGCTCATTAGCTGCAGGATGGGGGGAGGGAGAAGACACTGGGGCACAACTGGGACAAATGGGCTCTCCTGGGTCCCCTGGGCCCTCACCTGTGCTGTAGTACACACCAACCGCAGTGCGGGTCCCCAGAGCCCAGGCAAGCCACACAGCTAGGGTACTGCTCACACGTCTCCACCGGGAGCTGGCTTACCTGGGGACAGTCACGTCAGCACCAGGCCAGGTCTGCCTCCCACCCCACCATGGCCCATCGCACGCCCACCTGCTTCTCACTCAGGAGGTAGATGTACTGGTGGTCAGGGCTGAAAAGCAGGTCTCGAAGGATGGGGCTGCCATCTACCACAGGGACCGTCTCGTACAAGTGGGCGTCCTGGGAGCTATCAACCCGAACCTGGGCCAGGAGACCAGGGCACAGCCTGATGCTGCTGCAGCCCCCTGGCTGTCAGCGCATCGTCTCGAGCCAGGGCCCATCACTGGGAGCTTAGAACTTGGCCCTCCTGCCTGGCACCCACATCCCGCAGTCTCCCAAAGCTAGGGGAGAGGGTGCCAAGGCCACCTGCTGGAAAGCCCCAGGGATACCATGATCAGCAAGTCAGTAGTGGTGACAGCTGGACCACTCTGAGAACATTCTAGAATCTTTAAGTGGCTGAACTAACTGTATGCTATGTGAATTACATCTTGAAAAACTGTTACCCAAGAAAAAGGGTCCCAGGAGCAGAATAGGCTGGTCCCTGGGCCTCAGCAGCTGCCCCCTGGAAGCAGAACTGATTGTGACCTGTTCCCCCTTAGCACTTGGGAGTGGACCTTGTAGGATGGGAGTGGGTGTTTGCCAGCAGCCCTCTCCCGGTACAGGGTCACTTGGTTGAAGCGGGGAGCGGAGTTAGGGAAACAGCCAGAGGTGAGCAGGGAGCAATGGAGAGAGTGAGGGCAGGAAGGGACATAGGTGGGTTTATCCACATCTGTTCTTCTGTCATAAACTGAGGACCTCAAAATTCACGAGTGGCCCTGGCCCTGGGACCCGTGTACTCTTTAATTCAAGAGACATGGGAGCAGGTGCGGGCAGTGGGACTGCCCTGTGGTTGCTCTCCCGCCGCCCACCTCACCTTGCCCTGCATCCCTGGCTCCTCGTCTCACTCTGCCCCCTCCCTCCTGGGCTCACACGCCTAACAGCTTCCAGACCCACCTTCTTCAGACTGCCGCTGCGTGTGCCGATGAAAACCACCGAGTGCTGGTGGTAGGTGTAAGCGGCCACGCTAGCCATGCCTTCAGTACTATCAGCTAACAGGGGCAGCCCCTCGATCACATGCAGGCCACCCAGCGGCTGGTTCAACACCAGCCCACAGAAGTTTCCGTTGATCTGCATGGGCTGGATGGGAGGAGGCAAAGGAGGTACTTGTGAGGCCAGGCAGCAGGAAGGCAATGCCCGCTGACTGGGGGACCATTAGCCCCCCATATGCCGGAAGGGAGCAAAAGCCAGAACCCACTGCCATCCCTGGGCTGAAGAGGGAGCTAGAGGAGAAAGAACACAGGAAGGCTCTGGGGGAGACTCGGGACACAAGGGAGAGCCAGTTCAGGGAGCACTGAGGAGGAATAGATGGTGAAGAGAGGCAGACAGGCCCCAGCAGGCTCACGGTGTTAATGCAGGGCAACTCCTTGTTCAGGAGCCAGGGTAGGGCCAGCGTGCCCTCCCCCCGGTAGCAGGACTGGATGCGGCGGCGGATGTGGGCATTGATGTTGCTGAGGGTGAAGAGGCAGAGGACAGTCTGCCGGGGAGGGCTGGCCCGGTTCTTCTGGCCCTGGGAGAAGACGGTGAAGAGGACATCCTCATCGGCGGGTACACCCAGGGCTTGCGCCAGCAGCAGGCCTGGCTTGGCCAGGTGGGCACTCTGCACCAGGCGGTACTCCACGCCATGCCACGAGCAGCCGATGGGGAACTCAACATACGAGTAGAACTCCGAGTCCCCTGCGCACATGCGCACAATCTTGGAGGTGAAAAACTTCTCGCCAGCCGCATCCAGGAGAGTTTGCTGCGTGTCCAGCTGCAGGGTCAGGAAATACACGAAGGAGGCGCTCACGAAGCCATACACGTAGTAGATGTCGAAGGCAGGGTACAAGGACAGGGTGTCCGAGGGGATCTTGATCTGGGAGGAGACAAACTCGTCCTGATACACCTGGGGAGGAGATGGCGCGCACTGAGGCCTGGCCTGTGGCCAATTCCCCAAGCTGGGGCGCCCTGCCCATCCCTAGTCCAACCCCACAGTCCTACCCTTCCAGATAGACCTCTGAGGGAAGGGGGGAGGGGGCACAGGGCACAGGGCTCACCCACCAGACTGAACATGTCGGCACTGTCCTCGTCACCTAGCAGCTTGCGGGAACTCAGAGTGGGGAAGTACTCAGACTTGCCATCCACAGCGGTGCCAACAAACAGCTTGCTGGGCCCCTGGCCCTGCTCCACGATGACGCCGGCCATGGAGTCCGGCTCCTGGGCCCCTGACAGGTAGTGTTCCTTACGGCGGTGCGGCTCACCCAACTTGTACAGGTCATCCAGCCGCAGGAACTGGCAGATACCCTGCCAGATGCTGCCGCACGCCACAAGGCGCCGGGCAGCGTAGTCAATGAGCAAAAGTTTATTGACATTGTCCACGGGGGCCAGGCGGTGGGCGCACACCCGCATGCTGGGTGGCGGGTAGCAGCGGGCATTGTCCTCCACAGGGCCTGTGACATGGGCATGCAGTTCTGTCAGGTTGGGAGCCAACTTGAAGACCCGGTTCACGGCACCCACGAACACCTCTCCAGTCACCCGGTGCATGGCCAGGTGGGTGAGTGTGGTGTCCGTCACCGTAAAGGCGCGAAACGGCCTGCTGCTGCGGCTACCCCTGGCCTTGTCCATGGTGAGGAGCAGCGGGAGGAGGTAGACCAGGAGCATGGTCGGCAGCTGCCTGTAGAGACAGTGAGAGGCCACTCTCTCACCTCCACACCAGAGCACCAGCTGGTGACCGCAGCTGGGAAAAAGGAGGGGGCCACCACCAGGGTCTAGCACGGCCTGCCCCCCGGGGCCATCAATCACCACTCCCCCCCACCCATTGGCAGGGAGCCAGGGTGGCCTCGCCTCCTTGGGCCACACCCATGGGGGCAGCAGAGCCAGATGCTGAAAAAGGCAGGCAGGAGGCTCTCTCGGAACCCAGAGTCCCTGAGAGAGCAGCCCCCAGAGACGCCCGTCTGAGTGGGGAAAGCAGGGTGGGAACAATCACAAGGGGGGCACCCAAGTGGCCTTGCCACCAGGATCTCAGTCAGAGCTCTGGAGAGTCCAGGCCCTTCGTCAGCCCTGGGGCCTGGCTGGCAGTCTAGAACACAAAGCCGCGACGCGCCTGGCCCCACAGTCACACACCCAGACAGGCAGAAGGCACCCAGGTGGTCCAGCACAGCTCTCCCTCCACATACTGGGGCTACTGGGAAAGAGGAGGTGCAAGGGGACCCGACCTAGCCCGGGAAGCCCTGGAACCTTATGAAAAGGAGTGATAACCCCAAGTAGAGCCCAGTCTTAGGGAGCAGGAGGGAGGTGGTAGGGCTGTACAGGGACTGGTCGAGTCTCAGGCCAGCCCCAGGCCGCAGTGTGGTAGCTGCTACCATGTCGAGCTCAGCGAAGGCCTGTCTGTGGCCAAGCCCAAGGGGAACAGGGTGCCCAGCTGGGAAGGCCGGGGGTCAGATCAGGGAGGAACCGAAAAGAGGAAGGGCCATTTGCTAAAGAAAGAAGCCGGCCCCAGCGGGAAAGTGCAAAGTTTGGGCTCCGATCTATCCCCTCTCCTGGGGTCTTTTGTCAGGTCCGCATCCTGGCCCCTTAACGCAACAGTCAGAGAAGAAAGGCCGCGCATGCGAAGGGGGCCCGATCGCACGCTTATCCCTCCACACCGCAGCAGCACGAGCCAGGGGATGGGGACCGGAGGGACACGCATCGAGGCCCCAGACCGCACCCGGCGCGGCCTGAGGCGCCGATCAGCTGCCGTCGCGGACAACCCCGCTCCTCCGACTCGCCTTCGGGGACCCGGACGGCGCAAGTCCACGACGCCCACACCCGCGGGGCTGCCGGCTCGCCCGGCTCCCACCCGGGGGGTCCTGAGGGGTGCCCTCGTGCCTGGAGGTGCCTCCGCAGTCCTCGGAGGGGCTGCTTAACCGCCACAAAGGGTCCTCATCAGGAAGGGGGTCCCGCTGACCGGCCCTGGGACGCGGGCGCTGCGGCTCCGTATGGGTGGCAGGGCAGGGCGGCCACCTACCTGTCCCCCACCGCCGCTGGCTCCGGTGGCCACCGGCCACGTGGACGCGCCCCAGCCCTCGGCCGGCCCGCGCGCCCG